TTGCTACCTAGCTGTTGATAGGATTATTTCTTTGCCTCTTTAAATACTTTTGTGAAGACATGTGAGTACATGCCAGTTTATTGATTTTTCTTGGCAGGTGATAAACCTTATCAATCTTCATACACAAATCTTTCTTTGATGTAGGTAATATTGCATCCGTTGGATCTTTGACTATTGTTTCTTCTCAAATGTATTTCCTTATATCTTTTAAACAAATACAAAACCTTTATATGTTGTTTCTTTATGTTTTGTCCTTCATAACCATGATTTCTCTACCATTGTTCTTCTGTACATTCTGATTCAATTTGTTGATGAGTCAGTCTTGTTAATAACTATTTTCCATGTATATCTTTATTACATTACTGACTTTTTAATTTCCTTACAAATCTTCAGCCTACTTTTCCATGTCCTTCATTTCAACCTGATGACTTTTCATGTCTATCTTTTACCTATAGCTGATTGTGTAGTTTTGATCAAAAGGGGACTTTATCAAAAGTGAGAAAGTAAACATATAAAGGCAAGTTAGAAATTAAGTGAATTAATATAATAAGGATAATAAAAATGTGCAGGTCATTAAATCCTTAAGAAGAAATAGACATAATAAGGAGAAAAACCCAAGTATGTTTGGCATCACAAAAAGTGGAGAGCTGATATTTGACCAAATGGAAGAAAAGTTCCAAGTGAGATTGTTCAGAGCACATCCCAGTGTTTGTGGCCTTGACATTTGGACCTTACATTTTAAGCATTGCTGTAGGCAAGTAATGATTAAAGTCAGGCCAATAAAAAAGGAAAATGTAAATAAACAGTTTAAGTAGGCAAACCATATGTGGTCTAAAGCTCCATTGTGATGGCTCTTTTGATGTGTCAACTTGAGTAGGCTACAGTACTCAGTTATACAATCAGACGCTTATCTAGGTGTTTCCACAAATATAATTAAAATCTCTAATCAACTGACTTTAAGTAAGTAAGATTATCCTGGATACTCTGTGTGGGCCTGATTCAATCAGTTAAAATGCCTTAAAAGCAAGGCTGAAGCTTCCCCAAGAAGCAGAAATTCAACTTGTGGACAGTAGCTTCTACCTATGCCTGTGAATTCGAGCCTGCCCATGATATTTGCTTTTTCTTTTCCTGATGGCCTAGCTTACAAATTTCAGACCATCGCAATTGTTCTGTAAGTAAATTTCTTGTAATAAATATCTGTATGTGTCTTTCTGTCTCTCTCCCTCCCTCCCTCATATATAAATGTGTGTATGTGTTGTATTACATATTATATATGTGTGTATAGATATAATATGTTACATATTATATATGTGTGTGTGTAGATAGATAGATAGATATTTAGATAGAAAGCTGTATCAGTCAGGGTTCAACCAAAGACGTGGAATATATATCCAGGACTATGACTGCTTCATCCATCTTGAGGGAAGGTCTTGAGAGGAGATATTTTTGGTTTAGCGTTAGGTTTTTAGGGGAAGTGGGAATGGTTGTCCTACAGATAATAGTTAAAGTTATGAAGAGAAAAATTGAGGTTAATAATGAAAGGATTAAATTGCATCTGCATTCTCTAGAGCTCCCTGGGGACTGCATTTATTGTTTCTTTACCTGATTTTGGCAGAGCCAGTGTAAATAGTATAGAGTTGATGGATCTACACACTGACCTCAACTCTCCTGTCTGGTGCTACATGAAAAGATGCTTTATGGGAGAAGAGCTGTTGATACTACAGCACATTACTGCTTATTTTAAATGGGAATGCATCACAAAATAACTTTCATCTGATTATAGAAAAAAATTCCATTTTTGATATTACAAACAATATGGAAAATGACAGTCACTTGATAGATTTTCCCATTGAGCCATCTGTGAAAATATTTGACCCATTGATAATAGTGTATTTAGGTTCATTAACTTAAAATTTCATTCATGAGGCATAGTGGAATGGGCTCTAGCATTGTATGTTAATTATTGAAATATGAGTTTCTATTAGCTCATGAATTTTCAAAAGTTACTTAGAAACCCTCAGGGGTTCCATTAAGCCCATGCTGTAGCCATATTCTGTGGGCAGGGAGGAGGGACTGAGAAAATGACTTCTATTTATATAACTTAGAGATTTGAGGTCAGCCTTGAGTTTGAAGTCTAACTCTGCTGTTTATTACCAGTATGAAATAGTTAGAAAAACTGTGCCACAGTATCGTCATCTGCAAAAATGCAGGAAAAGATTCAAGTGCTGTGTGGATTAAATACAATTGAGGCAAAGCTTTAAAAGAAGTGAAATTTATCCCTTGTGTTATTTTATAGGACCTCTGTAAGTTTTTATTTGCAAGTGAAAAACCTTTCCTTCTTGTTCTAAAATTGTGTTCATCTATGTAGATCTTTACCATGGCAAATCTGTCCGAGTTTTTCCTGTGGTTTTCTTTTTCTAATGATCCTCCTGTGGGTATTTGCATCATATATATACTACTCCTTATTTACAGCAACACATCCCAATGTATCTTTAGGTTTGTCCAGTCAAAATCTTGAGAGAAGATTGAAAGGAATAGAGATAGATTACCATAATGTTGATTTTGAGAAGTCTCTGAAAGGTAAATTAGTGACAGAAAAAGAGTAAGTTGTTTCATGGCCTCTATAAACCAGAAAGAAACCCATTTCTCTGCTGTTGTCAGAGTCCTCATGAATCATTTTTGGTAATATTCTAGAAGATGAAAAGAGATTCCATTCCCCTTTGATAATTAACTTCATAGATAGACATCGTAGGGATTTGCTTGATCTACATAATAGAAAATTTCCAAGCCTATTTTTTTTTAAAGCTATCTATTTAAGGCAAAGGATATGTATCCATCAGAATAGCTAGGTATGTTGTATTGAGAACAGCCTCAAAGTCTCAGTGGCTTAAAACAGTAAAAATTTATTTCTTGCTCTTGCTCTCCTATATCACGCATAGTCTCCAAGATAAAGATTCTCCATTTGATGTCTCCCGCTCATTCCTCCATATTAACATGTGTATGCACAATCTCTGCCCCAGGAGAAAAGAAAGATGGAGAATTATTAATCAGTGCCTACGTCTCATCGTGAAAACAAGTCACATGGTCACTTAATCACAAGGGATCGGGAAAGTGCATTTGCGTGTCCACAAAAAGAAAAAGCAGTAGACTTGTTGAGTAGAACTAAGGACCACCCTGATGACCATTGTCATCTAACCAGTTTTCCATCTTCAGTGTCACTGCAGACTGGTAGAATAGGCAACTCCATATTAGATAAACCTGTTATTTGTGGGATATTTAACATTTTATTTTATCTCTAAGCATGATTTCAATTGAAGTGGTGCTTTGTTTCATCTAGCAATGACTTCTGAACAAAATTACTATTTACTTTTTTTCTGGAGGGTTTGTGAATGAATTTAAAAATTTTTTTCAATTATTTTATTGAAATCATAAAGGTTAATAACATTGTATAATTTCGGGTATACACTATTAAACATCAATTTCTGTATAGACTGCATCGTGCTTACCACCAATTGTCTAATTTTTATCTTTCACCATACATACGTGCCCCTTTACCCCTTTCCCCCAACCCTCAGCCCCCTTTCCCTCTGGTAACCACTAACTTGTTCTTTTTATCCATGTATTCATTTACCTTCCACATAGAAGTGAATGTTATTGTAGCACTATTCACAATAGCCAAGATGTGGAAGCAACCCAAGTGCCCTGCTACAGAGGAATGGATAAAGAAGATGTGGTATATATATGCAATAGAATACTAACCAGCCATTAAAAAGACAAAATCAGTCCCATTTGCAACAACATGGATGGACCTTGAGGGTATGATGTTAAGCAAAATAATCCAGGCAGAGAAACACAAATACTGAAATTTTTAAATTTTATTAATCTCAGCTGAGTGATTCTAAGTATAATTCTTACCATTTTGTTTCATATTTGAATGTTGTTCAATTCCAAGTCAAAGTATCAGGCAGCGCATATGTGATGGAACACACAGAGAGAAAGTACACTGGTCATTCATTCTACTAATAGGAAAAAATTCCCTGTAATCTTTTTTTCAGTCTCCGCTGTCATAAAACATCAAAAATTACCAAAACATATTCTAATTTTTGGATATTCTATTCTTTGGGCAGTAATAGAAAGAAAAAGAAATCTCAAACTTTACAAAAATCTTGCCAAAACTTTTAGGGGTCAATTTGATTGACAGAAATCTAGTTTAGATAAGTCCTTCTTCTATGGAGGAGACACATTTTATTACTTAAAACATCACTATTATACAGAAAGCAGAAGAAAATAAATCACAAGCTTATTTGTAACAGTGTGTACATTGGAAGTGATAACAAAGTTATTTCCTCCTGAATGTTTAACCTTCTAGTTTATACCATCATAGACTTTGAAAATAAATAGGAAATCTAGTTAATTGAGGTATACGTTTGTTTACAAGAAGTATAGCATCAAAACCTCTATAGAATGTGATCCCTCTTTCCCACCAAATCAAATATAAACACTTTTGTTTTAGACTCAATATGTGTCATAAGGACTATTTTGAGGCTAATGAAGAATTATATCGACCTCAGGTAAGAGAATTGAAACTAAGAGATGACGCCTTGATTTATGGAGAGTTCAAGGGTATGTAAGGCTAATTGCTGTTCCCTTTGGAAAACACAGACCCCAAGGATAGGTCCCTAATTTCAAACTCAGGAAAGCCACAATGTCTGCTTGTTAGTATTCTTTATTCTTCATTCTGTTAAAGAAACTATTTCTAGAATGTCAAAAGGAAGACTTGAGTACCTACCTATATTAGCCAAATATGTTTTACTATATTAAAAATAATTATATACCAGTGCTATTGTCTTTATGCTAATTTACTATTTTTTTTCATACAAGTAACACATTCATTCTCAATCATTTGAATATCTTCTGAATCACTTGTGCATTAATTTTGAAACAAAACTTATACTGTCAGGGTAAGTGTATAAATCAGATCAGAAATTTTAAGTTTTATTTTCGATACAAGCTGTATCTTTATGCTCTGCCAGCATTAGAAGTGGATCTTGGCATAGTTTTTCAATGATATGAAAGCAGTGGACCTCAGATTTAAGGAGTGGTGGTAACAAGATCAATTAGAAAGGCACCATTGCTACTTTGGTCTAGATACAATGTATTTTCTAAAGTCTTCTCACACTGCAAAGGCATTTCTAAGCTTTGTCCACTTATTCAGAGAGGCAACATGGCTCAGTGGTCTGAAATAACAGGCTGGAAGATCAAGGACTGTGAGTTCTGATTTTATATTGGAAAAAAAAAGTAAAAATGTTGCTTGGGCTTTTTAGATACCTTTAAAATGCTTCTTTAATATCGCGTTGCATTTATTCTTTCCTTTTTTGTTATTGCTCAGGTGGCATTTATCATACGGGTCATGGGTACAAAAGTAAAAGTCAAGGCCGTCCCAATGATTAAAAGACGCCGTAGGAACACATAGAGCTAGATCTTACAGAGACAGCGACTTCCCTCTTGTTTGATTAAAACCTGGAGGGTTCTCAAAATAGTTGAAAAGTAAGTATTGGTTTAATAGAAGGAACAGGATGCAATTAAGAAAGAAGGTTCAGAAAGCAAGTTGAGACTATGAGGATATTTATGTAATACTAATTTAAAATGGGGTATGAAGATATGCCCTAATTGTCCATTTCCTTCTATATTTCTCTAAAACTGTCTGAATAAGTCATTCAAATATCAAGTTCCCTCTTCACATCATATGCAAATTTTAGTGTGTTCTGCTGAGTTATATCCGTAATAATACAACATTTTTTTCTTTCATGCATGATGTGGGGTTTCAACTTTCTAAATTTCATGAAATGAAAAGTGAAGAAACTATTCAATAAAGGCATAAATTGAAACAGAGCCAAATAAATGCTGAGTAGAAATGAGCTTCAGTGTTTTCTGACAGATCAGGGTTGGATTTACTACTGTAATTTATAAGGCAAGGCCAAAGCACTCTCTCCCTCCAGCAATTGCTACAGATAGTAGAAATTATTTACAAAACCACGATGGGCATCTTGCAAAGATTTTCTTTCTGTTACTTTTGAAGGCCTCCTTTATGACCATAAAATATAATTAAACTCCATGCAATCACACATATTTATCTGTCCTGGGCTAATAAGTTTTTATTTCAAAGGATCCACAGTAAGATTTCTGGTGTGACGTCGAGTGTTATACATAATGGGGAAGAAATTCTACTGTATAAATATGACATAAATTGCCAATAAGAGCTCCATCGGTGCAACACTATATATGTTAAAAAGTAACATATTTATGTGGCTCAGTCTATCTTTTAATTCCAAAAGAGGTTATTTTGTAATGTCAAAAGAAACTCTAATATGAAATAATTTAGGAACTAGAAGCAATAGGAAATAGATGCATCATAGAAGTGTAAACACTGTGATTAACCTATTTGCTTCAGCCTCTTTCAGGAAAAAAATAAATGGATGTAATTAAATGATGGGTAAGTTTTATTTACTTGGTGTCCTGACCCAATGCAATCATATCAAATATCTCAGCTTGGAAATTTTCTTAAATGTGCTAAATTGTTCACTTTTGCCTTATCAGAATAAATGTCTTACTTGTGTTAGCAATAGTTCACAAAAAAATATATATAATGCAAGCTTATAAAATTTTGTCAACATTTTGTCTGTTTTTAATCAGTGAACATCCATTGCAGAACCGGCTGTCTAACTTTTTCATGCTTGATTTCATTTTCAGAAGTCTTAAAGCATTAAAAGTATTTTTATGAACAATTTTAAAACTGCAAACACTTCCATAGTTATAAAACAAGTTTCATTGCTTGGAAATGCTGAAGTCATGGATCTTATATTAAAATTCATAGAAATTTTATAAGATAGCAAAGTTTGAAATGAATTCTTGTTGATTAAGTAATTTTATGTTGTTTAGTCCAACATTACCTTCACAGGATAAAAAAAAATCATTAATGATAAAAAATATTTTTAGAATATTAAGCACTCAACAAATATTAATTCTCTCCTTAGGCTTGGGAAGAAACTGATTAATCATCTTCTAATCTAACAATTTTCCAAATATAGTGATTTCATTGCAACATTTCTGATAGCTATCTTAAAAATCAAAGCCATTCTATTTCAGTCTTCTTGTTTTAGAAACGGGAAAAAAACTGGTCCTATTGAAGTGATTAGACCAGGATTACATCGCTAAGAACTGACAGAGGCCCAGAATCTAGGTTTTTCTTATACCAAATCTGCAGTGTTATTTTCAAATCAGACGATGCTGTTTCTTTTGTCTGTTTCTTTAAAAAGCATTAAAACAACGGAAAGCATCATATTAGAGCTAATGCCACCAAATGGAAACAATGATCTATGTTTCATTTTTATTATAAAATGTATATATTGCTCTTTTCAGCATTTGGCAAGAAATATCTTTGTTCTGATGCTGTCGCCATGCATGTTTACATTCACACACACACACACACACACACAGACTCTAACACTGGCTCACATGATTTCTTTCTGGGACTGTTCCAGTAGCCTTCTTGTTAAAACTCTGTGTTTAAACTCATCATACCACCCTTCCTGCCTCTTGCTCTCAGCCCCCATCAATCCTCTCCTTGACACTGCTTCCAATTTAACTTTTTTAGCATAAAAACCTGACCTTGTTTCTCTCCCAATCAAAATTTTTCAAGTGTCTCATACATGATATATAAAATCTTTTCCAAGAAGGCCATTAACCTGCAGTTGAGCCAAACTTTGTTCCACTGTCTCTTTGATTTTCTTAAAGATACTTTTATTTTTTGTAATAATTTTAGATTTATATAAAGTTGCAGAGATGACACTACAAGTTCCACTAGACCCCTCACTCAGTTTCCCCATGGTATAGTTAACAAAACTAGGAAACCAGTGTTGGTACATGACTGTTAACTAAACTCCAGATTTTATCCAGATTGTGCTAGTTTTTACCTAAGGTCATTTTTCTGTTCCAGGGTTCAATCCAGGATAATACATTGCATTATGTTATCTTGGCTTCTTAGTCACTTCTGGCGTGTGACAGTTTCTGAGTCTTTACTTATTTGTCTTGACCTTAACCATTTTGAGTACTAGTCAGGTACATTGTAGGATGCCCCTTAATTTGAATTTATCTGATGTTTCCCTCATGATTAGATTGGAGTTACAGGTTTTGGGGAAGAATACCACAGAGATGAAGTGTCTCTTCATGTCATATCTGGGGGTATGTGATATCAACATGACTTAGTTAACCTTGGTGACTTGGTCAAGGTAGCGTTAGCCAGCTTTCTCCACCATAAAGTTACTGTTTTTCCCTTTCCATACTCTATTCTTGGGAGTGAACCTTCCCACACTCAAGGGGGTTGGGCAGGGAGTTTATTAAACTCTACCTCCTGGTGGGGGGAGTAGCCACAAACATTTAAAACTCTTCGTTTATATTAGCGTGCATTCACGTATATTTGTTTTATACTTTGGGTTATAATCTAATACTATGTCATTTATTTTATTGCTCAAATTACTCCATCTTTGGCCATTTGGAACTCTTTTTTGTTGGCTAAGTTGTCCCTTTGACATACTTTCATCCTTTGAATTTTCTGGCACCTCAAGACGCTCTAGGCTCATCTGGTGTATTTCCTACTCTAGCCCTGGCCCTAGAATCATCCTTTTCTCTAAGAAGTATTGATTCATTGTATTGGGCGATGAAATTTAGTCCTTGAACTGTTTACTCCAAATTTGTAGCATTCCACTTCACAATTTGTAGGTCCTCTTTGTTCGTGCTACGCTTAACTTTATAAGTATTTCTACATAGCAATTAATATTTTTCATATTATTTTGAAGTCTAACACGATATTCTGTTGGAATTTTCTCGTGTGCAGAAAATTTCTGCTAAAAACTATAAGGACCAGGGTGCCCCATAGTCCAAAGAACCTCCAAAGGTTTATTAGCACTCAAGATCAGACATTTTCCCACAGTTGGTAAAAGTTGCCAGAGCAGCCTCATAACCTACTACCTAACTTCCCTGTCAACAAAAGAAGAACCCCGAGAAGAGGGAGGGAAGTAAGTAGAATTATTAGAGCATATAAAAAATATTTCCTTTCCTCCTGGATAGTTCCTTTTCCCTCCCTGAAGCCAAGTTAAGGGAAGTCCAAGAGGATCCCTCATGACATTCTGGCATACCTGAAAGAACAGAATGTTGTTGGCTTCTCTTCTGGTGCTTTCCCAACATATCCCACCTTCTTCCTATCTAAAAGTATTCTATCCTGGTTTTACTTCAGCTTTTGTGGTAATGTGCTCATCCTCTGAATATGAATCATGATGGGTCTAGGCTGGTTTGTCATTTCCTTCCCCTTTGCCAGTGATTGGTCTGGGTGTGGTCATGTGACTTAGTCATGTGACTGTAAGTCCCCTATGGGACTCAGGGGCTTCCCTGATAAAAGTGAACACCACACCAGAGGAAGACCCTTTGGTCTCCTCCTCTTGCTGACTGTTTCCAATGGATGCTGTTGTGTGAGAACACAGTGCCTCATCCTGAGTCTTGCAACCATGAGGTGATAATCATTAAGGCAAAAGCAAAACTTGTAAGAAAAAAAATGATAAAAGACGTCCGGTTGCTTGATGATGTTTCTGAGTCCGCTGGACTCTGGACAACCTGTTATGTAAACAGTAAATGTTAGTATCATCATCAGTGGGGTTTTCAGATTATTATAGCTCTATATAGCGAGATTGAGAGCTTTTCTTGGGGATGAGTGTTTGATGAGTTTTAGAATCTGCAGACTCACCTCTGTGCTGCTTCCCGAGCAGGGATTCATTGGAGAGAGTAATCGAGGAGACCAGGAGTAGGTCCAGTTGTCTGGTTCAGTCCCTTTCGTCCCTCTGTGGTGCTTGACATATGAGTCCTGAGTTGTGGAGTGTGGTCCCTTTTCTGATCTACAGGCTTCTGAACGTACAAGATCTCCTTTAGTAGCCCGTGACACAGGGCCAGAAGGAACTGTAATATTTTGGATCTGGGAAGGGTATGGGGACACCCCATACCCCACCCAGTATGCTGTGGTCCTCAGGGGCTTAACAGGAGGGACTTATTTGTTCCTATGGCTCCATACAGGGAAGCCCAGAGGTAGAGATGACCATGAGCTATATGGATGCTCAGATAGCTGGTCTGCCAAATGATGGGAAACTCAAGATAGACAAGAGATTAGGAATATGAGCTGCTGGCAGGGCCGAAGGGAGTCAGTGCCGCTTCCCAGAAGAGGGGTGCCTCAGCAGTAGAGATACAGAGTGAGGTTGAACAGCCCCTCCCAAATTCACACACACCACCTACCTGGCCATGATTCCTCTTGCAGAGGCCATCAGCACCAGATGGAACCAGCCAGACCAGCGAAGTCAATTACAGAAGGGGGCCTCTGCCACCCAGCTGACTGGCACATACCCCAGTCTTCACGCCAAGGCTCTGGGAGCACAGCTCCAGGCTGAGCTCAAGGAAGAGAAGAGCTGGGCTCCAAACTGATTATTGCACAGAAGTTTTAAAAATGACAGGACTGAGTGGCGATACAGCCATAAAATGATTACTCTTGCATATCTATTTCTCCAGCATACTGTTCATTCCTTGGAGTAAGGAACCTTTTGTTTGTTTGTTTTATACCCACAGCCTCTTTCAAGACTTCTCAACCTGGAAGCAGAGAGGGAAGGTGTATTTTTCTTCCTCCTCTAGAATGTTTCGAAATGATTGGAAGTTTTTGTTTTTTGGTTTTGCGGGTTTTTTTTTGGTTGTCACAATGACTGGGGAATACTCAAGGCATTTAGTTGGTAAGAATCTATAATTCTAAATGGCCTGCAAGATAGTGCTCCACAGTGAAGAAATGAATGAATGAGTGAATGAATTTATCTATCCATTGCTTATATAATAAATGCAATTCAAATTTTTCTAATACTGGAAAATATGGCTTCCAGAACAAGTGAAAAGGAATTTTAAAGTCTTTAAAACTCAAACATTGATATAAAAATAAAGCCATACTTTGTATAGGACAAAGAGGTAATCTACTTTACCACCTTCTATAGTCACACTTTAATGTGAATATTGTTAAATTTTTTACTAGAAGACAGAGCATATTTTTAATCAACTAAAATTACAAATTTTCTTCCCTAAGTATATCTCCCTAAAAATCTCCTTCTAGTATAGCTCACACATACACTGCCCTAAAAATAGAATTCCTAACCAGCGTGCCCCTTTGTTTCCCATCTAACCTCTTTCTGCATGTCACTTTTATCCCCTCTTCAGTGCCACATTCAATCCAGACTCTAACACTACTGTATGGCTGCTATCAGGAGAGCATGGACCCAAATAGAAGCTCTGTTCTGTGTTTTATTTTTGTTACACAAAGTATTCAGCTTATTCCATCTGCATGATTGCCGGAGCCTCCGAGAATGCTAATTTCTCACCCTAATCTTCTTAGTGAAATGCTCTCAAGGGAGGATGTGGCTGCCCAATCCCAAAATGATAGGGAATAGAGGGAGTCGGGAAGCTGAGAGTGGTGACATTTCTTTAACAAAGTCACTGCTATCTTCTGTGAAGTGTCAATGCCTCGGTCTTTTTTTTCTGCCCAAATCGTGCACGTATGTGACTCCAGCTTTCTTTACAAGGGGAGCCATGACCCCCATAGGGCCTCCATCTGTCTGCCTGGAGCAGGTGGTCTCATCCAGATAGCAGTTCACTGTCGTTGTAGCTCGTCTAATGATGTGCTGACATTGATTTCAGGTCTTCACATTCAATTATTTTCTTCAAGCTTGTTTACCTATACATTAAGGGAATCTGTGATATAATTAAAGAAAAAGAAATTTCCTGTGCTTTAAGATACTCTCATACATCAATGTAAATCATTGATACCCAGAGATATCAAAAGGTATGACTTCTGAGGCAGCGCTCGAATAGAGAATAAATCAATTTTAAATATTTCTGTAATACAAAATATTCAACAGACCAGTAGCCACTACCTCCGACTCCAAATAAATAGGTAAGAATTTGGAAATTCTTCAAAGTATTTCAAGGTGAAGATTTCTTTTTTTCCAGATTCTAGAAAGTCCATATTCTTACTCAAATCTGATTCAAAACACGACTAGAAATACCATGAGTACTGGCATATTGGGATACTTTAATTCCTGAAAGTTCCAGCTGAAAATTCAGCAAAAACCGTTCTCTTGGTGCTTCCCAAGAAATGTGACAGCTTTCAGAACAGGAGCTGAAGCAGAAAACAGAATAGGGGACTCACGACCACCAAAACAACAATAACAAAAACAGCTATTGAAATGTTTTGGTATTTGAGATTCAGCGTTTTTTTTTTTTTAAGTTGCAGAAGGAGAGCTGTCTCTATCTCTGACTATAGATGGATAAAAACAGATTTGGAAAAAGGTGGAAACTTTCTTAGTCCCTGGTTAAAACACCAGCACCAAAGGGAAGATTTCATATTATCCTAAAACCTTTAATTCCCTGCCCGTGCCTCCCAGACGGCCCTCACCAGTGAGTTTGTGTTGTCACTCAGAATAGGTGGTGTGTAAATAGGGCCCCCCAAACACATTTCCCCTCCACAGAACAATATGCTTGACAAAGCACAGTGGTCTGGTTCACAGCTCAGAACAGCTCTCGTCCCAGCCTCCTGATGAATGGCTGTTCTCCATGCCCCTAGCAATTATATATCTGGAATACTCTAAAAACCCAAGTTTTTAATGCTCTATTCTCATTGTTCAAAACTACATTTGTACATGTTATAGCATAAGTCCTGATTTATTTTTATATTAGAATTCCATTCATAGTATTTATACCAAGCTCCTTGTCTGCTTTGAATGCTTAAGAGACCTTCAAGTATGACTTTTTTCTGAAAGTTCACTTTCATAGTATTGTTCTGTCTATCATATTTTGAATGGGATTTGAGTCTGGCCTCTGTGTGTGTGAATGTCTGTTTGTGTGTATATCAGAGTGTATGTCTGTCTTTGGGTGTCTATCTGTGTGTGTGTGTCTCTGTGTGTCTGTGCGTGTGAGTGTGTGTGTATGTGTGTGTCTGCGTATGTGAGTGTCTGTGTGTGTGTGGGGGGGGCAGGGAGTGGGGGACATTGGCCTGGGGATGAGACAAGAGAATGTGAAATACATAGAGATGTCATGGAGGTTTTCTATATGATTATCTGGTGGACTGAAATGTCACAGAGCTCCCCAAACAGATATTCTTCTCCAGTCAAACACATAAAAAAATGCTCAGCAAGGTACTATTTTCTCAGTCTAGAGAAGGGGTAACATTTCTCAGTGGGGCACATCGTAATGGATCAGATGACAATATAGCACAGTGGTTTTCTTAAGAGAAAACACTCTGGAAAATTAACAATTTTTGACAATATAAAGAATAACACCCTCAATCCCTTGCCGTAGAGGGGCACAAGAACTCTGCACGCACATGAGGTATTCTGAAGCTCAAATAATGATTTCTCTGATGTGGTAATATTGCCGCTACCATGGGCTCCAAGAGCGCAAGGCTAATTGTACAGTGTCAGATAGTAGGTGTGTCGGCAGTAAAATTTTAAGAGGCACGTCAGTGCAGCTTTCTACAGCATAATAGGCACTGATTAGCCAGCCGTGTGGCGTGGCAGCAGTGTGCTTCACCGCCGACTGTTCGCTGCAAGCGCTGAGGCCAACTTGAGTTGCAGAAAAACACAATGGGACCCGGGGAGAAGGTAGCTGCCGCTCCAATATTTTTCATGGAGGATTAGCTCTTGCTCTGGAAAGGACGAGGTGGGAGCGATTGCAAGACTCCCCTGGCAGGCTTCACAGATGCCTAATTCTTGCCTTCTGGTCAGCTCTGATTTGAGCTGAGATCCCTTTGTTTGCTGTACTCACTGAGGCAGGCGATTCCATACCTGGATGGGGTCCTCTGAGACCCTCCAGCCCAGCTTCAGGTTCCCAGGCAGGACTGTACATAAACCACCCAAAGTCTTTGACAAATGTGGAAAGCAAGGCTACGAAGTGTTGTTGTGACAGCTTCTGTGTATAGACATTTCCCGACTTCCAGATGTTGTAATGCCCTTGTCCGGCACAAAACCAGTGTGTGATGTGGAGAGTTGCTGACTTTTTTCCTCATGTGCCCTTTACATAATGTCACCCAGCAAGGCCCAGTGCTTCCTTTGTAAACTGTTTTTTTTTTTTTTTTCCTCCTGATTCACTTCATGCTTTCCATTTCCAGAGTTTTGCTCCTAAACCAGGCCTCATGCCCTCATACCAGGATTCCAGGCCCAGGAAATAAGTAAACCAAGAGCTGCATCTGCCAGAGCAGAGTTCCTTACACAGCAGGTGTCAGCTCTGCATCCTCTGCATTTCAGGCTGTTCATCAATTACCACTCCCCTCTGCCTCTGCTGCCTCCTCTCTCCCTAATTCGCCAAACACAGCTTCCAACACTGAGAGGCCAGGCTGTTTTTCTCTCCTGTACACGTGCTTTGCTTTCTTTCCCATTCTGTGTCTTGGCTGCTGCTTCTCCGCTCCGTACTTGGAATACTTGCTTCTCTATTGCCTTGGGTGAAAGCTACGACACACACTAACTACTCAAAATTTGTCTCCCTTAAAATTGTCTTTCCTGACAACTCATTTGATTGGGTTACAGGCTGCGTCCATGGTAGGCTCCCAATGTCCCATGGGTTAAGAAGAAAGGCCCTGGCCCCTGTCAAGCCTGGTGAAAACCCTGAGTCTCTTATTTAGCCTATATCTTAGCTTTCTCACCTATAAGACAGAGAAGACTTCACAGTATTTTTGGGAAGATTTAATGGAATAACTTACATAAAATGCCTGACACATGGTGGGTAATCAAGAAATGGTACTGATTACTGTATTGTTTTCATTGTTGAACTATTCTTCTTATTCAACTTTTTATAGCACTTCTGTACATGGGTTGTACGTTATGATCATTCATTAGTAGAGTATTCACATATGGAGATTCATTTAAGACTTAAGAGGCCCAAAGACAGGCATCATATATGTTCATCCTTCAACTTCTCCCCCAATACCTGCCCCCCAAATCACATGCATTAGACTGTGTTCAGGGTTAGCATTCAATAAATATTAGAATGACTGTCTGGCATAAAGAATTCACAAATGGAAAATCATGCTCAATTTTCTTTGTTTATTCAAAAGGATATTTTTTCATTCATATTATTTTCATCTTGTCTCTTTTTCTAAGAACCCACAAAAATATAGGAAAGAGCTGATTTGTGTCTGTTTTATAAAACTCAAATGTTCGATATGCAATAAGCCAGACTTCTCTTGCTTTTAATCCTTGAAACTTTTTTCTCCACATCTCTAAAATTAGGATTTTAAATTTATGTAAATAAATTTTAAAAAATTAATCCCAACTATGGGATTATAAACCATCCCTTATATATTATTTTTGTTGCTTTTTATAACCCATATTACTTTTAAGTGGCAATATCGTAACATTCATTACGATATGAGATTTTTCTGAAGTTGTAAGTGTTTTTCCCTAATCTTGAATGTGTGCTCTGAGTCTTCCCTACCTCCAAGATTGCCACTTTACCATTGTGCTTATGGAATCTCCTATTTTATGAATAAAAAGAATATGAATAATAATAGTCAATATGAATCAAACACTTACTCTGTGCTAAGACTTTCACATGCATTGTCTTACTCTAGGCCCTCCAAGATGGGATTAGACATGCAAGAGATTTATTGAGAATGCAGCTGTGAAGGATAAAGAGGAGGGAGCCAAAGAAAATAGGGAGAGCCTTTAGACAGTGATGCAGCAGACTAGGTAGAAGATTCTCAAACTGTAGGGCAGTTCTAAGCAAGTTCCAGCTAGGATGAGGGGAGTCCTTAAGCCAAAGTTGCCCAATGAAGCTGCTCCAAGTCTTGCAGGCATTGAGTCTGCCTTAGCAACTTTGTTGAACACAGGGGTGGATCCAGGAAGTCAGCAGCTGCGGCAGTCAGTCAGTTATGCTTCCTGCAGTGGGAGATCTGGGTGGTGCATTTCCACGACCACTGCATGCATGAACTCACTATCTCACAACAGATGAAAACCGGAGTAGTTACATAACTTACCCAAAGTCGTACAGCTAATGAGTGGCATAGCTGGATTTTAACCCAAGAACTGGTTTCAGAGCCCATAACAGATAGGTAAGTAGGTAGGTAGGTAGGCAGGTGCATAGCTAGCTAGCCAGATAGATTGAACATATGTGAAACAAAGTAGATGTGATAGATATGATATACAATGCTATCAAATTCAAAATTTAACTGATTCTATTCCTTTTATAAATGTCATAAATCATTCTTAATCTCCCATATTAGTCATGGGAAGTCATGATCATTACTTTCGGAGAGTGCCTTGTACACTTCAATATAGATTGCTTTAGACCAAGTGTTGAGATATTTGGGAAGAAAATTCAACTTCAATCTCTTTTTTTTCTTCTGTCTTTAAAATCAGCCACTTGCCTGGATGACACATGGTAATATTTCATTCTCCAAATAAATGAGTAACATAGAAATCTCCTGAAATGATGCTACATTTTTATCAACCAATTTCCTTTTGAAAATTCTTCTCTCTATGGCTTGATCCTTCAGGAGTACCAATAATTGCCTCAGTTTTTTTTTTTCCTGTCTTCATTAGTACTTTATATACTTCTGTTGACCACTTGTATTAGTTAGGGTAAGCTAGGGTGAAGTTCAAAGAAAGAAACAAAGAAATCCAGACATGGAATAGTCAGGTTGGCAGAAATGTTCTCCATGTGATCATACAGGCATCTAAGCTCCTTACATCTTGTGTGTATGGCAACTACTATGGGAAAAATTCATGGTGGTCCACAACTGGTGGGTTTTTATGGACCAGACCTAGAAGTGGCACATACCATTCTTGCTTACATCCCATTTGAGGGTCTTAATTCATATGGCCACATCTAAATGCATAGAAGACTTGGAGATATAACTTACCTTTAGGGCCAAAGGAGGCGCCAACAATTTTTGGCTAACTAGCTGGTAGTCTCTGTAAAGTCACGTATAATATTCTTGTAGTCTCTTCTATACTCCAAATTCTCTCAATTAGGACCCCCTTCCTTCTTAATCATCTCAGTTTTAGACAGATTCCAAAAGCCTTTCTGTACATGTAGGAAGCCTCATTTAAACAACTGGATTAAAAAGTTGTGACTTTGACTCAAGCAACCATTGCTGCTCTTGGCCAACTTGCATTTGTTTGATGAAGTTACTTCAGAAAATCTAGTTTATTCAGAAATAGTACTCATTCGAAAATGCTCACAATAGGCCATTAGAGGCAAAAACCTTAGCTCTCCCTTTTTCTGACCATTTTTATTCTTAAAGCCATTTTGTAAGGTACCAATATGGCTGTGGTCACTTCAGGATACAGACTACCCCTTATCATCACCAGAACACCTTGAATGTTGTAGTTGCTGTGTGTGATTCAGCAAAATGAGCATTAGATTGGAAATTAGGGAAGATGGGCTAATTTGAGATCTGTCACTCATTTGTCATGGAAACATAAAATAGTGATTGATCGCTCTTAGCTTATGTGCCCTCATCTGTGAATGGGAATCTCGCCCCTCTTATTTCATAGAGTTATGGTGGGTAAGGTACATGAATGTGCTTTGAAAACCACGGCTCCGGTGCCAAGGAGTCTCAATCCTTGTTATATTCACATTAGAAGATCACAGGTGGACCATTGTTGATATCCTAATTTGTTCAGGTTCTGTAAAGGGCACTATAGAGAGATAAACATGCATTAGGAGCCATAAGTTAAGTGTTCAAGATAAAAGAAACAGGCACAAAAATATGATAAAAGATAAAAGATAGAGGCTCAAAGAAAATCTGAAAGCAATTGCAAACTAACACAGCTTGTCAGAGCTGAGAGGGTGCTAGAGATAAGCTTTTGATCAGTGTGGTGTGGAACGAATTAGGAGAGCCTTGCTGATCACCTCTGCTGCAGTTTGTGGTCCACGCCTTGAAGTAACCAACACTGCTGGAGCTGCCAATCCCACACCGGATTTTCTGTGTGTATCCCTTGAGTTTCACAAACTCAGTAAGAGTTTCCTTAAAGGACCCAGGCCCTGGACCCTCAGTGAGAAACATAAGGACAGGTGTAAGGCCAACTTATGATGAAGATAAAAACTATATTTTTGCTTTAACTGAGAGTCCATATATTTTTAGCAAATCTTTCAAAACATCCATGGAACTGCAGACGTCATATGGAATTGTGATGTGCACACTACAAATTGCTTTGCATATGAGTTAAAAGACAGTTCTCATGGTCACCAGAATGTGCAGTAATTTGCCTCATGAGCAAATATGAAAACAAGATCAGGGCAGTAACCAGGACAACACAAACAACCACACGGGTATAAAGGTTGACCAACTAAACAATGCAATTACTGGGTGATTGTATAGCTGCTGGGACACTGTTATACTGCTGGGGTGATTATACTATAGTTATTGATGACTTGTGCCTTTTTGGGTCCTTTAATTCTTTCAAGTGTGCTACTAAAAATTCTAGTATTTGAAAGAGTGCTGCCAATACAGAAAGTCTGAAAATAACCACAGATATTGGAAGAAAATGATATTGGCTAACACTTAATAATAATACTTTACTGGTTAGGGCTATGCCAGCTGCTGGACCAGATAAACTAAAAAATATCAGTTCATTAACACAATAGAGGTTTAGTTCCTACTTATGTAAAGTCCATTGGTTACCAGGATGGGATGGGGACTCTGTTCCATGTGGTTATTCAGGTACCCAGGCTGGTGAAGTTTCTACTGTTTCTCAGTACATAGGTTCCAAGGTTACTCTGGGCATCAACGTATAATCAGCTGACACACAGAGAGGTTTGTACAGGATACTTTTATGAGTTGGAACTCAAAGTTCTGTCTGTCATTTCTGTCCCTTCCGTTGGTCATAACTCAGTCATATGGCCACATCAAACTTCAAAGGATGCTTTGAAATATAACATATTTGTGCACCCAAAAGGAAAGTAAACAGTTTTAAAGATGAAGTACTTAGGGCTTGTTTGACATAGGAACTTACATTTGTATAGTTCTTTTACCATTACAGATCTTTTTCATCTGCTTTGACTCATTGAATTATTTTAGTCATCATCCTTATTTTTGGAAACAGAAACAGAGGTTCAGTGGCTATGTAAATTGCCCATAGTTACATACCTGGTAATTTGGGCATCTAGTACTCAAATTCAAATCTTCTAACTTGAAAGCCTATTTTCTTTCTTTATACTGCTCCCTGCATTTCCTCTTGCCACATGGTTTAATGGGAAAGAAAGAAAAACACAGGGATTAATGGATCCTGCCTTAAAACTGCTTACAAGAAAGCACATAAATAAAGCTACTTAGGAATAATTACAGAGCAGTATATCAACCAACACAACCTAATATATGCCAAAAGCAATGAGATTTGGTAGGATAATTTGTCTAAGGTTCCCACTCATCAGTATTTATTTAGTCTGAACGCTGAGATTTCTGTCTAGGTTTTCAAAAAGTTTTCATGGAAATAGAGAGTGTTCTCAACATAGCTCTGGAAGCTATTTCTTGTCCTAGTCCTGAAAACGGGTTCCATCAAAAACTGTTTCCATTCCTGGGATCTGACATATCTTCAAGCAGTGATTCATGGAATATGCTAAAAGGAGAACAGTTCTGAAGGAAAGAGAAAAAAAAAAACAAAAAACAAAACTTTATGAGAAAAAAATAGGTTTAATAGTTTTAGATTCAGCCAACATATTGAGTACTTAATAGAAACTAGACACTGCAGATGATTTCACACATATTATTTTGTTTGTTCAAATGAAATTACGTAGAAGCAAAATAGGATTTGTATTGTCTGGAGATATAAATTATTTATGCTCTCCTTGGATCTCTTTAGTATGGGTAAATGATATTTTGCCTTAGTATTTTTTTCTGGTTATTGCAAACTTTCCAAGAGTTGGCTTTATTTTTTAATAAAACCATAGATCATGGAGCAGGAGGAGATATCAGAAGCACATCTGGTCTACCCCTCTCTGCCTTCAGGAAACAAGTGTTGTTTCCCTTCTCATCAGCTGCGTAACCATGAGCAAGTCACGTTTCTGAGCCTCGGGATCTTCATATGGTAAATGACAGTAGTAATAAACCTTCTCTGTCTCTGGTGATGATTAGCTGTAAGCATCAAATGTTCGTTGTGTTTTCTAAACTTGCAAGCACCGTGTAA